AAAAAATGCTCCAATGGTCCCTGATTCTTGCAAAAGTCCAACCCCACCAGCGAGTGCAAGTAACCAAATGGGGCTCTGGCACATTTGGAAGTGAAAAGTCGAACTGCTTTTCACATGTGTAGACATGTGGTGCACATACAGTAAAAGCAGTCGCCTTCTTCTTACCCACCATGATTATCATGGCCTGTACCACGTGTACTAGGGATAAGCAAAAAAACCTGTCTATAGCGCCCCTTCTTGGGACTCACCAAAATAGGGTGCTATAGATTTAATGTAAAATTTTTACATTTTAATGTTTAAAATCGGGCGCTATAGAGAGGAAGACACTATTTAAGAGGGGGCGCTATAGACAGGTTTAACTGTATCTGAATAAATTTGATACACCATCTGTATTAGAAGAAATGATAAGCTATTTACACATACCCACACAGGTTTCTTTTACAATGAAGGGTGGGATATCAGAAATGGTATTTAAACTAACTTATGTACATAAAAGCTTTTAGGACAGTAGAATTACATATTTGCATCGAACAATGCTCTTCCGCACACAATAAGTCCAGATAGCCATAAATTAATATTGTCGCGGAGATAAATAAAGCAAGGGCAAATTTGGGAATAAATAATTTATTATAAGGGGTATTTATAGGGAGAGAGAGAGTGTACAACTTACCCCCAGTTAAAAGATAATCCTAATGTCAGCCACCGTCCTGTTTTCCTTATTTACAGATCAGCTTCCCAGAACCCCTCACACCTGTGGTCCCCCCCCGGGGTCCAGGGATGATTGACAGGTGTCCCATCTGGATGGAGCTTCTTGACAATTAAATGCAATAACGTGCCATCTAATTACAGAAAATGAAAACAATAAGATGTGAATGTTTCTTTCTACACATTAATTAATCATTATTGATTTATATTAAGTTACTAAATAGTTTGTTTTTTTTCTTATCCCTAGTACACGTGGTACAGACCATGATAATCATGGTAGGTAGAAGTAGGCAACTGCTTTTACTGTATGTACACCGTATGTCTACACATGTGAAAAGCAGTTCGATTTTGCACTTACAAATATGCCAGAGCCCCGTTTGGTTACTTGCACTCGATAATGGGGTTGGACTTTTACAAGAATCGGGGGCCATTGGTGCAATTACTTTTTTTAAATCAGAAAAAAAGTGCCCAATGCGGGATACAAACCTGGGTCGTAGTGGTTAAAACCAACAGGTTAGACCATCCTTCTACCAACCCCTACTAAATAGTAAAAATGGGGAGTAATTTAGGTGATGAAAAAATTGTCCTTTGTAGAGAGGTGTTCTTTCATGGAGGTTGTTCTACTGTATATATGGATATCAATTTGTAATTAGAAACTATAAACTCTCTACCCAACTTGAACCTCTGTAAACTGTAAACTCTGAATGACCATTCAGTACTTTTGTCTGAAGATGGTAACAACGCTGTTACCGAAACGTCACACACTATTTATTTATTTGGTCTTATTACCTTATGTTTATAATCAATCTACTAGCCGAATGACCCAGGCAACGCCTGTGTTTTACCCGATTGAATGTTTTGATTCAAATACTATTTGTTACAATTATAAATTGGCGCCTTAAATAAATGCATATATTAGTTAATAACTATAGCCTATGTGCTTTACCTGTCTATGTACTGTTGGCTTCCGTAGGCGTCTCTTACTGGGAAAAAGAAAGAGAGGATTCCATTTGGTTATTAACTAATATATGCATTTATTTAAGGAGCGACCCGCTCCAACACAATAGTTACAAAAACCAAAAAGCGAGTGGGGGGGCAAAGTCAAAAACAAAGTGTCTCGCGTAGTGGTGGCGCCATCGTAGCCACGTGATCGTAGCCAACCAATAGGAGAGCGCCATTCCAAAAAAAAAGCAAACGGTGACAGAGATGACGCATGACGCTCGTAACTGTATATAGAATAATCCAAATTGTGCCTTATCTATTTTGTCATTCAGTACTTTTGTCTGAAGATGGTAACAACGCTGTTACCGAAACGTCACACACTATTTATTTATTTGGATTTGGTCTTATTACCTTGTTTTAGCACCAACAAAATAAACAGCCATCAAAATAATACTGACAATGTGTGGTGGCAGCTGAAGATTAAAAAAAAGAAGAAGCTGGCCTTATATCAACACATTTCCCAAGTTTTCTAGATGGGATGACACTTTATTGACTGTATTGACTCATCCATTGATGTGCTCCCCTCATCCCTAACAGTCACCATCAAAAGTCTCAAACTCTACAAGCTTGACACCCTAATATGTGAAGTGGAGATTAGAAAGAAGAAGAAGAATAAGGGATGAAAATATCTTGCAAGAGATCAATAAACATTTAAATGTGTTTGGGGCCATTACAAACAAAAAAAGATTTTTAGAGAAAATGGCCTCCTTAGAGAAAAAAAAACAAAGTGTGAGACTTTTTACACATGGGGGGATGTGTGTGTGGAATTGTTGGTTTTACAATGAGTTCTATGAAATATATTTGTTAACTCTTCTCAAATTCTTTTTACTTTATTCATTTTTATACAATCTTTAAGTTTTTTTTTTTTTATATAGTTTTATATAAACACAAGGTAATAAGACCAAATCCAAATAAATAAATAGTGTGTGACATTTTCGTAGCAGCGTTGTTACCATCTTCAGACAAAAGTACCGAATGTTATACTAAATATATGTATATTGAATGCATTCAGTACTTTTATCTGAAGATGGTAACAACGGTTAAATACAAAAGGTTAAATACAGTATAAATATGAATAAATATGAATAAATAATGATAGATATATGAATAAATAGATAAAATAATTGATAAATATACTGTGCAGAGAGGGAGAGAATCGACTCTCTCGGCGAAAATAAATTGTAAAAAAAAAAAAAAGTGAACATCTTGTATGTCAATCCCACCTGGATTCTATAGAGAATAATCACAAATTGAAATACACAAGGTATAATAAGACCAAATCCAAAAAAATAAATAGTGTGCGACGTTTCGGTAACAGCGTAGTTACCATCTTCAGACAAAAGTACTAAAAGTACAAAAGTGTTCTTTTGTCTGAAGATGGTAACAACGCTGTTACTGGAACATCACACACTATTTATTTATTTGGATTTGGTCTTATTACCTTGTGTTTATAATCTATAATCCAAATTATGCCTTATCTACTTCTCTGTAAAGGACAACACCAAGTTGCACAATTGTTCTTTAGAGAGAATTGTCCTCTTACCAGAGAATTGCTAATTGGTAAAAAATGGTTCATTTTGGCAATTAAAACTGACCTTTGTAGAGAGGTATCCTCTAACGCGAGTGTTTCATCATGGAGGTTGTTCTACTGTATCCTTATAAACAGTAGAACCTCCAAGAAAGGACACTATTGCTAGAGGACACCTCTCTACAAAGGTCAGTTTTCATTGCCAAAATGAACCATTTTTACTGATTAGAAACTCTCTGGTAAAGTGACACCTATCTCTAAAAGAACAATTGTGCAACTAAGTGTTGTCCTTTACAGAGAGGTAGTCTTCTTTCTTATCTCCACTCAATCATATTAGGGTATAAAGTTGTGACGCTTTATGGTGTCTGTTTGACAACAATCATGACTGGGTGAAGTAGAATGCATCTGCCTTTGTCATTAAGACTGGGAGCACTACTCAGTGGCATGCCGACTTAACTCCAAAAGAAATGGCCACCTCTTACATGAGTAGCAGACGCCATGTGCAGCCATTCCTAACATGGAGTACAAACTCATCCTGTATCCCTGGATCAGGAGCTCTTACAGGGTACTATCAGCCGGGCCAGCTGAACCCAGGTTTTTTAGCGAGCTTGTTATTGCTCCCCCTTCTCCTTTTTCATCCGGGCTTGGGACTGGCAAAGGCAGAGTTGGGAAGGTTGTTACCTGAAGGTTGTTATCAGAGAATGTATAAAATGTTGTTAAACACACCATATATAATCTGCTATCATATCTAGTGGTTTTAATGTCTCTCTCAGGATTTTGGGTGAAATCTAAGATAAAAAGACCAAATCCAAATATATAAATAGTATGTGATGTTTCAGTAACACCGTTGTTACCATCTTCAGACAAAAGTACTGTCTCTTCTCACTCTTTTTTTTTTTAGGAAGAATAACTTCTTAGGTCCATTGAAGTCTATAAAAATTATAAGGTACAATTTGGATTATAGATTATAAACTGAAGGTAATAAGACCAAATCCAAATGAATAAATAGTGTGTGACGTTTCAGTAACTGCGTTGTTACCATCATCAGACAAAAGTACTGAATCTAAACTCCAAATAAATAATCCATTCTAATATATAATCCAAATTTTACCTCTTATCATTGGGTGAAATCAGTTTGTTCATAACCATCGCCATAGCTCTCGCACCATTCTCACTTGGGAACTAATTTATCATGTCTTGTCTTCCACCAATCAAAAAGGAAGTGTTCAGTTTGTCAATCTTCCTTAATTCTCTCCCTTAATTATCTTCTTCTTTCTTATCTCCACTCAATCACACTAAGGTATCAAGCTTGTAAAGCTTGTTGATGGTGTCTGCCGGGGAAGAGTAGAGCTCATCAATGGATGAGTCAATACAGAAATAAACATGTTCTATAGAAGAAGTTCCTTTTGACTTTATAATCTTACAACATAGTTATGGTAATGTTGATGTCTACATCCTAACCAAAGTTTTTTTTGCAAAACGACATTCTAAAACCATCCCGCATGCGTTTCCTTTCAACGAAAAACCAAAATTCATTTCAAGGAGAAATAACGATCATTTCCAACCTTTAAGATGAAGTATGAAAGAGTCTTCTTCTTCTTCTTTCTTATCTCCACTCAATCACACTAAGGTATCAAGCTTGTAAAGCTTGAGATTTTTGATGGTGTCTGCCGGGGAAGAGTAGAGCTCATCAATGGATGAGTCAATACAGTCAATGTATGAAAGAGTGAATTGTGAAGGGTAATGATAAACGGAAAAATAAAAGTGTCCTGGGATGGGAAACGAACCCAACAGTGTTCCGCTTACCGGGCAGATGCCATGTCCACTAGGCTACCCTAGACATATTTTTCCGTTCGTAAATAATACATAAAGTAATTTATAATACGGGTCAATGACCCGTATACCATAGTTTTAACTCTTCATTTGTACTGTGCTTCAATATCACAATATGGGAGGAATTATGAAAATGGTCAAATCTGACAAAAGAGGTATGGTAAATAGATGCGATATTTTAGTTTTTTTTAAGGGAGAGGTGCTCCTTTTGGTAAATGTGTGTTTTGCATAATCTATATGATATTCTTATTTGGTTTGTAGGCATATCTGGTATTTTGTTTTAATGTACCTGTGTGTTTATGCATTTGTTTATGTGTGTATTTATGTATACATTTGTGTCTTTCACTGAAACAGAATATCTATAAAGAATTATTTTTATGTCACCAAATTACCAAAACGTGTGTAAAATAGAAGTAATTTGGTATATAAACATTTTATTTATTTGAAAGAAAATTATATAGAAATTATGTGTTGTGGAAAAATGTTTACAACTTTCATAAAATACTTTATTTTATAAAAGTTGTCAAAAACATTTAAATTCGGAATAAATGTTTAAATAATTTTTTGCGCACTCAACATATTTCAAAACTAAAACATTACGTTTGTATTATTTTTGTTAGACAGATATGAAAGTATAATACGCCGAGTTGAAAACAATATAATATATTCACAAACACTTTAAAATTTGGTGAATTAACTTTAACAGCAAATTATATTTCTGTATTTTATATCAGAAGATAGAGTTTGCATATATAAATTATTAATGTCGCTTTATATATTAATACATGCCGTCATGTTTTGATCAATGAAATGTTAAGCAACCTGTTGAAAAGAATGTGTTAGTTCTGTTTAAGTGTACAAATAACTCATGTGCGCCAACCATAAGATAACAACATATAATATTTTGACTTACCTTTTACGTGAAACAATACAGACGTAGAGAAGCAAAACACAGGAATGACGTCACGCAGTGTGACGGTATGCTTCTAAAACAAAACAAAAAAAAAATCGAAATATTTAGCTATATTTATCTATATTGATTTATTGTTATTATTTCTGCATTTAAATTAATAAAATATTAAAGGAAAATATTTTTATCGTGTATTTTTTTAAATTATTAACTAGTTTAAATGTTGTACGAGAAAATATAAATATACACACACTATTTTTCAATTATGAATTTAAAAATTATTGTTTCGATATATATTTTTTAAAAAACAAAAGCATATTTTTTTAATATATGCATGAAATATATTAAATAATCTATATTAAATCTAATAATATTTATTTCAGTCGTTCAAATTGCATTCGTTGTTAAAATTTTGGGAGGTATTTTTAAAAATCATAGACAAAGGAATAAGATTAATTTTGGAACACATGTTGACAATATAATTATGAAAGCTACGAAACTTAAGAATATATTATTCTCATTATGTGCACGTACTTGGGGCATTGATACTAGACGTAGATTGATCTTATATAAAGCTATGATACGCTCTACAATAAGCTATGCATCAAATATTTGGTTTCCTTTTATCACTGCAGCAAAAAGATCCAAGTTGAATTCTATACAATATCAAATTCTTATTAGATGCATTCATGCTTATAGGACTTCATCTTCTTACATCACACATATACTAGCGAAAACCCCTTTACTGTCCGATTATCTCGAATTATTACAAACAAAGTATAATATGACAAATTCTCTCACAGATCGAACACTCAAAAAACCCCTTCAAAAAGAATTAAACAAACTATATCTGGATCTAAAATTTAAGTTTTATCTTTCTCAATCTAATGAACTGTTCAAGAAATTCTTTCCAATTGCTGTCCCAAATTTCATTTCCTCTGATAAATTCACTACATTATTCTTAACTGGCAAAGGACCCTTCTTAAGTTTCCTATTCAAACTGAATGCTATCAATGATCCAACATGTGAATGCCGCTTAGATGTTGAATCACCAGAGCATCTTCTTTTATCTTGCCCTCTGACTAATCAAATTGTATGTAGATACTTTGAAACATTACCAAATTCTCTTTGTGTATATACTCTATCTTATGAGAACTTTGTTAAGTTTAGAACTATTTGTACAATAATTTACAAAACAATACTAATCCATCGTGTAAATAATTAATCATATATATATAAATAATACTAGCACAGCACAATAGTCCTTTGGACTTCGTGCTTTTGTAACAATAAATAAATAAATAAATAAATAAAAAAATTCGTGTATTATTTACCTAAATGCCTCTTATATCTATGAAAGTAATTTCACACACACACATATATATTAATTAGATAAATTTATAAACATACATTTTATACTTTATATATATATATATATATATATATATATATATATTAAATTTTATATATTTACAGTGAATTTTTATACGGTCATAATAATATTAAATTTTAATTTTATAAAACAAATCCCCCTTTTATATTAATTGCTTTTTATTAATTGATATCTATATATTTATTTACTTATTTATTTAGTTAACCCAGGTTTCTGGAGCGTAAAACAATCGTCAACTATTTGATATCTGTCTATATATAAAAAAATACGACGATAATAAAAAGAAAGAGAGTGAGCCGCGCGCAGTGATTAACTTAGTGTAACTAAATTTTATTTCAAAACTTTAAGCAACAAGAACAAATCCAAATTAATAAAATGTTTGTTACCATATTTTTCTAATCTATAATTTAAATTTTGCCTTATCTTCATTTCAAAACTTTAAATGGGA